CAAGACAGGAAACCTAACACTTAAGAATTGAACTGTCAACAGTGTCTTACAAGACAGGAAACCTAACACTTAAGAATTGAACTATCAACAGTGTCTTACAAGACAAAAAAATCTAAAACTTTGAGTTGAAGTAAATGATTCAAAATTTTTGTTCACAGAGGTGAGAAAGGAGCTTTAGCCAGCGATTTACACAAATAAGTCATAGTTAATGCATTGAAGCCTTGATGCTGTTCAAATTGAGTAACATTTGTGAATGATTTTTAAGTAAAGCTTTAAAAACAAACTTAAAAAATTTTAATAATTCAATCAAAAAGTTAATTTAAAATTGGCACATTTGATAAAGTATTTTGTGTTACATAGTTTGAAAACTGACCTAGAAGATAGTTTTCTTCTTTTAAAAGTTGCTTAGCTGTGTGGTCTGTTAATGCCTTACAAGTTGGCAGTATTTGATGTAGCAGTTATCCTCTGTAACGTTTTCAGGGAAGAGGGAGAAGAAAGATCCAGGTTTAATGTAAGGTTCTGTTGCATCATCAGTGTGCTTTCTGGATTTGTTGTCCTTGTGAGTATCGCATATTGCTTGGTACTGAGTGTTGCTGCTGCATGTTTACATGTGTCACAGTGAGTATCAGGAAAGGCTGTAGTTGGTAACTCAGAGTTACATATAGGAAGACTCAAGTTCTCATGTAAAATACTGACAATGTGCAGCCTTAAAGCTACAGGAATTCAGATTGCATAAAAATACCTTCTGTCTTACGAATGTACAATCCAGAGTGACATCTCTAGGAGACACAGTCTCAGGGTGAACTTCCTGTGTCCCAGCTCCATCCCCTGCACACACTTTGATTGAGCTCCGGACCAGTGTGTGCTGAGTGCGGGTGAACCACCTCCCAACACTGAGGTTTCAGTTCTTCTTAACCTGCCAGTAGGGGGGAAGCAGTCTGAGGAAATGGTTCTTTCATAAAGAGGCCAACATGCTCAGTTAACTCTTGTGTGGGAGTTCTCTTCAAGTTCAAGCACACTGAGATACAGGGATAATTGTAGAACAATACAGCCACAGACACTTACTCAACACTTCTGTAGAGCAAGAATGAATATGCTCTTTATGTTGTTCCATTTGAGTTCTTTGAACACTTGAGAAGTGAACATTAAGTTACTAGATGAGAAAACTGAGGACAAGTCCATTTCTTCAGTTCGCACAGTCTGTGGTAAGCAGGATGGCAACTGACGGGCAGGGCAGCTTTTAACAGTATCACGTGTCCTTCTTAGTCAAATACAGGACACCCCCAAACCGAGGGACTTGCAAACAGAAGGTGTACTTTGAGTCCGTAAGAGTCCTGGAAAAAGCGGCGGGCGATGCTCTAATTTGTTGGTAGTTGGGCAGAACACTAACTGGTCCTCATCTTCAGATCGAGGAAAAGAAACAAAGAGAAGAAGCAGAGCGCGAGAGGCTGAGAGTGGCCGAGGAGAAGGAGGAAAAGCGGCTTGCGGAGCAGAGGGCAAGGATTCAGCAAGAGTACGAGGAGGAGCAGGAGAGGAGGAGGGAGAAGGAGGAGGAGGTGCGTGAGTACGAGGAGGAGGAGGAGGAGGAGCAGGAGAGGAGGAGGGAGAAGGAGGAGGAGCAGGAGAGGAGGAGGGAGAAGGAGAAGGAGGAGCAGGAGAAGGAGGAGGAGGAGAAGGAGAAGGAGGAGCAGGAGAAGGAGGAGGAGAAGGAGGAGGAGGAGGAGGAGGAGGAGGAGGAAGAAGAAGAAGAAGAAGAAGAAGA